AAATAGAAATGTAACTGTGAAAGCCAAAATTTTAAATCAATATCAACCAAACAAATCATCCATCTTCAGCTATCAGCTCGGAAAGCAGTAACATTTGTACATCGCTAAATTATAATCTTTGGAAAAAAAAACCAACAATCTTCTTTTCCAAAACGCCAAATGCCAATTAATACATGAAAAGATTTAGAAGTCAAATTGAACAGTTTCACCGCCTGAAGTTATATGAAAAGAAACTACATCAGCCTCATTCTCACCATAACATATGATACATACTTCACCACTGAACAGAGTCACTAAAAAAAATCTGATCCTCAGTGCTGAAAGCCACAGACAGAGGTGCATACCTCGTCAGATAAACAATTGTAAAAGAGCTTCAAAAAAAAGGAAAAAAACTGCAGGTCCGCCAATAAATCGAAGAAAAAAAAAGACAAATTGTCAGAAAAATTTGTAACCACCTCTTTGTGATGCGTGTCTTTATATTAATAATTATCGCTGATTATTTACGAACGATCATAACGACAACGTGTAATGGTTACAGAATTACAGACCTCAATCAAAACAGAAAAAAACAATAACAAAGAAATTTGGAGGAACTAAGATGAAATTTAACTGACAGAAAAGTTTTTTTTTTTTTCATTCTAACAGTGAAGCGCTAACCATTTAGTTGATATCAAAACGTTTAACAACAACAGCAACTATCTTACACAATTAAAATTGCTTATTAAACCGTCATAACGAATAAACGGCATTGAAAACTTGGGAGGACAGGAAAGCTAAACTTGAGTGAATAAGCTTTCCCCTCTCTATCCTTCCCTTTCCCCTACTTATGTATGAATAAAAATGCTTCTCTTCAACATCTCAATTTAAAAAAAGGAAAGAGAGGCAAAAAGCAAAAAATTGTTAAACAAATAAACGTGTTTAAAGGTAAAGAGGTGAACAAGTGAAGAGTTTCGTCAAACAACATGGTAATCAGTGGTATATCCCTACCGTTTAGCTTTTGCTTTTCAGCAAAAAATTTTTCGCTTTT